TTAAGTTATTTTAGTAATTTTGCGTTTCTTTTAATTAATATTAATCTTTTATTTAGTTATTTGAAACAATGTGCCTTGACAAAACAGTTTTAACTGTGGCTTATTGTTATATGAACATATGTATATTCATATTCGATGTATATAGATGTTGTTTTTTTTATCTGTTTAACTAAGAAAACGAGCTATACATTCTTATCCCGCAATTTGTTCTGGTGTTTAACGGCACTGTTACGACTGTTTGTTTTCTTGTAAATATATATACACTTACGCCTTTAAAACAGAGAAAAAAAAGGATAGTTCAAATTAAAATTTTTAAAGGTTGTATTTTTAAAAACAATAGGAACACGGCACTTGTGTAAAGATATTTATTTATAACTCGTCTTCGGTAATATATTTACTATATTAAATATCGTCGTGCATAAAAATATTCCTCCTAGTGACCAATAATTCTCTAGTAAAAGTAACATCTGGCGATTAGCGAATAGAAATCTTGTAGGCTTAGAACTAGCTTTGAGTTTAAATGAAGAAAATTGTTTAACAGTTAGTTAGGCCTAATTTCTCAAAACAGAACATAAAACGCAATACGTTGCTTTGTTCATTAAACTCCTTATAGTATGTTTAATATTTTGTGCAAAAACTCTCATTTTAAATTCAGCTTTAGTTGTACCTTATCAGATAATGTTCACTGGTAGTTCAGTCCTCGGTTAGTTCTTCCTGGATGTCACTAAGCCTAAGTATTTATCTCAGTCCTTGATATTGTTATTGTTTTGTATGAAGATTTCAAAACAAATCAAATGAGTTTATCCAATTTGGGGTTAATGTTTAACATACCCAACACTGGGTTAATATTTAACATATTCAACAGTGGAATTTTTTTTGAACAAACTTAGCGTTTACTTAATATTAAACATATCTAATTTTAGTTTGCTAGTGAACGCTACCTACCTTAATTAGAACAGAACACAGTCATATGCCCGTCTTGTATTGAAACCTTGAAAATGATGACTTTTAAAAGCCAGTTTGTAGGTCTCCAGCAAATAAATTCTAAAACTTTTTCTTTCAACAAGAAACCAATAATAGATAGTTTGTTTGGTTTTTCCAGTACTGTAGAAAGTGTGACCAATGACCACACTATTGAGCAAAGTTCACTGTCCAAAGTTATTACGATAAAGTCAAACGTATTAGGGTTTATCAGTTCTTAAAAAAATGTGTAGTTTCACTTTTAAACACAGCTGTTGAAAGTTGTAACTCACATTACATAGATACTGTTTTTAAGACTTGTATTGTTGTTCATTCATTTGTTGTCAGTTTTGTATTTTTTACTACTGTTGAAATAAATTGCTTTAAAAAAAGGTAAGTTTCGATTTAGTGACGTGAGAGTGGTAAACATGGGAAAATATTTTGATTTTACACATAGGAATTCGTTAAATTAATTCACGAAACTAAGATTTGTAGGCTTCTTTATGTGACAAAATTAACAATAAATTCTTAGTTGTAAAACGGAACTTTTTGTGTGACGTGGGTTATTGATTTCCTGTTTATACAGTATATTAGTTTCGAAGAAACTTGATTATTCCGTAAAAACAATAGTGGGTGTTTGTGAAAACTTTTAGTTTGACATTTATTTGGCGAGTTATTGTCTGGAACTACGCGCAATAATTACAAAGTTCTATAAAATATTCTAAATTTAAGCATTTTAAGGTGGTTTAATTTTAATTCGGAAACACAGTTTAATTTCTTTAACACACGGCATTGCCTTTATAACTTCAGTACGTGATATTAAAACAATTTTGAATGTGCGAGTCAAGTCACGTGACAAACCATAACTGATACAAAACCGCCATGTATCAGAACTAAATTCTGCCATTGTTTGCCATTTCACAGTTAATGTGATGCCACCGAAAATTGATCGCGTTTTCGAAGATTATGTAGCAGCCTTTCCTACACAAGATTATTAAGAAATGTTCAGATCGAGGATTTAGATTTTTCAAGGCGAGGAGATCCCTTGTACTTGAGAGCATTGAAAAACAAAGAATACGGATCAACTTGGGGATCCAGGACTACCCAGAAAGAGATTTGCAACATGTCCTACCCCTTCCATTATTATCAAAGTGCGGCATCATATAACGGGTGAGAATCCACGAACACAAATATCAGTGGCAAAAGTCGTCCACGTGCCCCAGGCAACAGTATGAAACATAATCAAAAAGGATCTCCGTCTGGAAAAGCAAAACAAGTCACGTATAAACTAATTGGTTCCACGACATATCTTTTATCGCATGCCTCAAGCAGCTGGAGAATGAAATGAGTAGTCATGCCATTCCATATGAAGACATACCGGATAAACTGGACATAGCGCCTATGGATTTCTGAGTAATCGAACTGTTGAAATGGATGCCGGGAAATCGTCGTTCTCTTACAACAAATGGATTATGAAAACATCCAGGGAGAAGTGGTGCTTTGGACATGACAATCTTACAAAACTATGCTGCAGTAGGGCTATCATGGAATGCACGGTCTTCAAGTAGAGTAAGACCGGATATGTCAACATAGACTGTAACGAAGGGGCGAGTTCTCCAAAAGTGTCTTAATATAACGTACTCAACCTCTGTAGAAGATAACATTATTATTTAACAATCTCCAAACGTAATAAAATATTTTTAATCTTAAAAAAATAATAATTCTCTTTTAAAATAGATAAACGTATATATATACTATTTTTTTCGGTAACTTATAAATGTTTTTGTTAATGTAAATATTTTAATGTTTTTTTAAGTAAAGCCACATTTAGCTTTTATGTTGTGTCCAACGCGGGGAATCGAACCACGGACTTTAGCGTTGTAAGTCCGTAAAGTTACCGCTGTCTCTCACCGGAGGATATTTTTAATGGCCTTAGAATTCTGAAGACTCATAGAAAACCTGTACTCTTTTTTCACAGAATGATATATTGCAACATGACTCCTAAATAGGCAATATACATCACCAAGCACAGAGTGCTTAGTATGTAAGGATGGGCCGAGATAAAAAATGGCTGCCACATTCAATCTATTACTCTATGATGCCTACAAATAACTGCTAAAGTTGAGTTATAGCCTTACTTGAGCACCTAATTCCCATTATCGAACGTTTCACAGCTTGCGAGACTCCCGGTGTTGTTAAAGTGGAGAACTGGGAACTAGCCAAAGTGTTCATCATTCTTATAACTTTTCCCACGCTAGCCAAAACTTGTGTGAAGTTCTCGCAGTGGTTTTAGTACGACAAAAACATCTTAAGAGCACTTGGGAACAGGCTATCAATAAGCACGATAGTACTTAGTATAAGCTATAAAAATGATAATTCTAGTGTAAACGATATTTTCATTACCCCTTGAAGTTAGCTTTCTTGCAAACATCTAGTTTTCCTTTATAAAGCTTAAGTCCAGGGTAAAAGAGGATTTACCAGCCAATAACATATGAACATTAGATGACTGTAACATGTAGAATATTCAAAGCTTTGTACACTATATAGTCGGTGTCTTTAGGGAGCAAACGCCTATATTATGTATGAAGTAAAGGAGTAAAAAAATCAATACACAAAATATTAAATTTTATTACATACCTTCATAGAATACACTAACTTTCAATCAGGGGTAATAACGTC